CAATGGTCCGCAGTCAGTGGCCGATTACGAGCGGCTCCTGCTTGGTGAACCCGATTCCTCTCTCCTTTGGCTCAGATACATGGCTTTCCAGCTTGAGTTAGGCGAAATTGAGAAGGCAAGGGAGATTGCGGAACGTGCCCTTCGCACTATTACCATTGGCCAGGATGCTGAGAAGCTAAACATCTGGGTGGCAATGCTGAACTTGGAGAACACATATGGCAACGATGACACTCTGGAAGAAGTGTTCAAGAGGGCTTGTCAATACAACGATACCCAGGAAGTTTACGAACGCCTGATCAGTATCTACATCCAGTCTAGCAAGAATGAGGTAAGTGATAGCTCCCATGGCACCATTCATGCGTGCGATAAGCTAATCTGGTCGTGTTACAGAAAGCGGATGAACTTTTCAAGACTGCTCTCAAGAAGAAGGTTTCCAACTCACCCAAGTTCTTCCTCAATTACGCCAGCTTCCTCTTCGACAACATGGTTGCCCCCGATCGTGCTCGCGCCTTGCTCCCTCGTGCTCTGCAGTCTCTTCCTACTCATACTCACGTTGAGACTACATCTAAGTTTGCACAGCTGGAGTTCCGCTGTGAGAACGGAGATGTTGAACGTGGTCGCACAGTATTTGAGGGTCTCCTCTCTTCGTTCCCCAAGCGGGTGGATCTCTGGAACATCCTTTTGGATTTGGAGATCAAGAGCGGTGATGCTGAGCAGGTCCGGCGTCTGTTTGAGCGAGTGCTTGGAATCCGGGAAACCAAGAAGGGCGTCGTATCTGTTGAAGAGAGCAAGAAGCTGAGGCCCAAGCAGGCTCGGTTCTTCTTCAAGAAATGGCTTTCTTTCGAGGAGAAGCTTGCGGCTGCTGAGGGTGGTAATGACAAGATGGTCGAGGAAATCAAAGCGAAAGCAGCAGAGTATGTCAAGTCTCTGCAGCAAGAGTAAACTTCTCATCCTTTGTGGACATATTTTGCCTTCATGACATCGGTGTTTGGGTCATAGATGTTGTATTTGTATATAAAAAGCATTTCAATTGCGAATTTATTATACCTTAAGAACAATCTATTCACGTAACAGGCTTAAAATGGGAAAGAATACAAAAAACGCCTCGATATGAAGGTATTAAAAAGTAAATCTAGCAACATCTTCCACGGCATCAAATACCGTCAGATCATTGCCTCTTCGCAGCCATCAACTTTCTATATTCCTCCACAATGTTCCTTCTTTCGCTAGCCAATTCTTCTCTCCTCCTCAAACTACCAACAGCGGTAGGAACGTTCGCGACATCGACTTTAGCGCCCCCGCGGACCTTGAAGATTTCCCTCGGCTTGATCAATTGCGGTGGTGCCTCCGCAGTTTCGAGGGGGTTGGCAGGCTTATTCATACGATCCTTCTTCTTCAATTTGGCCCAAGGATCCGATTCTTTCGCGGAGCTTGCAGCTGGACCAGCAGCCTTATTCCTCTTTGCACCACCTCCCTTCTTCTTTGCCTTGCCTTTGCCAGCCTCTTCATCCCACTCCTGCCACAAATGTAATTGATCTTCCATCTCAGCCTCCCGCTCCTCCCGCTCTGCAGCCTCTCGTTCCTGGATCTCCGCCTCCTCCTTGCGCCACATCCGCTGCAAACGAAGCAGATGCTTCTCATGCTTCGTCACCCGCGTCTCCCGAACCTTCGGTAAATCCGCCGATGCAGGCTTATCAGACTTCTTCATTCCAGCAATCGGCATCTCCCGATCCACTCGGGCCGCAAAATCCGACAGCTTCTCGCCGGGCAGAATCTTCGGCATCGCCTGCGCCTCGGCCTTCGCATTCAATTCCTCCACAGCCGCCGCCGTTGTATCAGCAGCAGACTTCTTCCGCGACGTCGCCGACCCCTCATCTCCACCACGTTTCCGCTTCTTGTTCTCGCCTGCCTCGGGCTTCGTTGGTCCCTGTTTCCCTTTCGTCTGGAACTGCATCAATCGCCGGAACTCCTTGGGCGTGTCATCTTCTGCTGCCGATTTGCGTCGCGCTTGCAATTTATCCCCTTGCTTGGGTTTGGCTTTTTGCTTGCCGTCTTTCGTCTTCGTGTTGTCGCGCACCGGTAGTGACTTTGCGATCATCGACGGTGGTAGATCGTAGATGCTGCGGCTTGGTTAGTTTTAATTTGTTTTGGGGATAGAAGGCCGGTATTACTCTTTTTCATTTTGCTTGCGCTTGTGTTTGTGAGGCATTTTGGTGGATTCGAGGAAATTTGGAGTGAGTTTGCGGAGGTTTAAGTTGTGCTTGAGTTTTTCTTGATTTTTTTCCCCGGGCGGCGTATCTTATCGTCACTGATAAGATCTGCATGTGCTTTTGTTTCCCTTGTTTGTTCATTCTTCCTTCTCCTCTCCTTTCTATAATTAAATTAATTAAATGGGGAAAGTTTCCTTACTGGGGCTATTTTAATCGCAAAGGCCTATCAATTTATTGTATTCAAGATACTATCATACAAAAAAGATGGAATAGTGGATTCAGTCACTCCGTATAGTCACAGTATAGTCACTATAACCGCGCAGTGGGTCGACATGGTAATCACTTCTACAATGGTGAACTGGGAGCTGATCTCATAGATGTGTCAACACCGATGGTGATGTAGCCAATCATTCCCTTCGTGACATCTTCACCATCCACAGGAACGATGTTAACGACAGGGTTGTACCCGTTCTTAGTATCCTGGTCGAAGACCATGTCCTCCGCATTTGTGGTCCGTTTGACCTCCGTGTGGGAAGCATACGGCTCGACGCTCATGATCTTCTGGGACAGTTTCTCCTCGAAGTAGATCTGGCCCGTGTTGACCGTGTTGCTAGCGATGAGAGTGCCATTGGAGCGGATGTGCCAGTCGGTGTGGACCTGGACGTGAATGTGGATCGATCGGCCGGTGTAGAAACCTGGTTATAGGCTGATCAGTGTTATTCGCATTGACTTTATAAGCTGCTCTCACCTGGGAAGATCGTCTTGATTTCCATCAGCCCTTCTTTGTTTGTGGGCCACATCCCACGCAGGAAAGTGGTGTCGTCGGTGTGCACGTCCGTGACGCCGATCTCAAAGTCGGAGATGTTCATTTTCATCTCCTTGAGGAGGACAGCGAAGTCGATGTTCGGCGAGAGCCCTGTAAAGGAGGAGTAGGACCCTGTTTCGTTGCAATGCCAGAAGTCGAGGAGGGCATTGGGTAGCGGTTCGCAGGTTTCCATGTCGAGCACGCCTACGTCCAGCCACAGGGGAATGCCTGGTTGGTTCTCCGACATGTCCTGACGGAGGGTCTGGGAGCGTGGCCACACGTACGGGCCTTGCGTCACCTCCGGGGTGAGGACACAGGTGTCATTTTGGAAGGTCTCGTAGTAGGGGGCCTCCGTGGTGATCTCGTACGTGGTGTTGCGGCCCGTCCCTTCGACGCGCTTCTGGGCCGCTGACCGCTTGGTCATGCGGCGCTTGTTGAAGCTCACAGCATGCTCAGCACAGCGCTTGGATAGTTCGCTGCGGCGCTGGATTTCCGCACGTCCGAGGACTTTGTCCGGGCCAGGATGGGCGATTGCAGTGGTTGCTGCTACGGCAGCTAGGATAAACTTGAAGAAATGCATTGCCTGCTAGGTAGAGTCTCAATGAGGATTCAGGATGGTTCCATGGAGAGTAACAGGGAGACGCAGGCTTCTTATATAGCTCTGAAGGATTCAAGAGCGACGTATGCCTCCGCAGCAATTTCATACTCCAGATCTTTTGACATGTGAGCCACTATATCCGGCTAAAAGCAGACTAATCGGTTGATCTTGTAGACAGTTTCACGGGTCCTCCATCTTGAGGCTATCCGTAATGTACTCCGTACATTTACACGCCAGATCTCCATAACACCTTCATGCTTTAAAGAGAGCGCCGCAACCTCGCAGCCTCAAAGCTCTGCATTTTCCCAACGACCGTACTGACTTCACAGTGTGTGATATCAAATCTTTGTTTAACAACCTTGATGCACCAGTCGACGCCCAGGCTCAGGCATCGCGCAAGCTTCGATAGCCTAGACTCCATATGCGCTCCGGAGCAACCTCCAAAGACGTGATGATATTAGCGCCAATGCAATTGGTTGCAAGGAAGTAAAACGCTGCAGAGCTTCGGCTTCGGAAAACTGATATCCGCTGACTGAGCATCTATACATGGCAAGATCAACAATACCAAGCTTTCTTCCCCTGCGTGTTGCTTCTGGAAGGCAAGCAGGAAATAGGATCGGCGCCGTTGGACACGAGCCAGTGGGCCGTCGCAGGCCTTCACCTCGTGTTGTTTCTCCGCTGACTGGGCAGCTACCTATAAAGAGCTTCACGATAGCAATCCTGCCGGGAATTTACTTTCGTATGATGATTGTGCCTTGAAACTTAGCAAGTCGTAGTAACCTACCGCATGCTTTAGAGCGCGCTAGCACTATGACTAGGGTTCGTCACCCGTGCAGATCTTCCCACTCTGATTTAGCCTTAGGCAATTCTGAAAGGTTATTTTGGACATGGAAACAAATAAGGAATCCTTGATTGTGCTTCATATCGTGCAGATCTATATGAAGTTTATTCGTTTTACCCATTACCATATTCCTAGTCCCCATCATCTAGTATACATGATTCACCAGTTATTGACCGTTCGAACATACTACACATCAACAAGCGCAAAGGCACACCATTGACATAGGTCCTTTGTTTAAGCACACTAGGCAACAACAATATCAAGGATACTATACACTGTCTCAAATTGGCGCGGGCCGTCAAGCAGATCATGATCTAAGTTAGGGTAGTAGATACGCAGATCACAGATAAAGTTGCCTACTTCGTTCATGGAACATACCAGTCTAGAATTCCGGTCTGGACTTTTTCGAGAACATAATAGCCAATAAATACACTGGTGGATGATCATTTATAGATACGTAGCGTAGAACTAGATATACTTTGGCGTAGTATATATATAGTATAGTATAGGTAGTATGTAGTATGGCAAAATACAAAAAAAAAAAAATGACCGACCCAGGGATCGAACCTGGGATCTCTCGTGAATACTTATAAATGTAAGACGAGCGCCTTAACCACTGGGCCAGTCGGTCTGTGACTAAGAAAAAATCTCAATTTATGGTGACTATGTTTGTGGAGTTGGGATATCTACTATACTTATAGCTGGAGCAATACCTATTCCAGGGTACTCTTGTTGTGCTAGATATGAGTTTTCTGGTTTAATCGGTGTCTGAGATATATAATACTTGTAGGATGTTCTCATAGGGTTACTATTAAAGTATAGAAGGCTATGCATTGTTCATCGGTGAAAGTCAGCAACATGCTATATAAACCTCGGCTTTATATACTACGACACAGATACATGTTCACCTGCATACAGACAAGTAACGGTGACAATACAAAGATGCCTGCGCCCCTGGAAAATCTACCATGGTATGCAATCACCGCCACCGCCACACTCCCCTGAGAGTGGAAGTTCTTCCATGGTAGCTTTGTTCGCCCTGTGAGCGTTGAACTCTTTTTGCCAACGCCAAAGCCGACCCATTCTTTCAACTGAGTGCTCATGTGGCCAATTTGATTCTGCCAAGTGACATGGTTTCTTCTTTTGGGTATTGCAAGACTACTCGATGGAGAAAGGCCGATGTCTGGTTTGTTTGAGACTCTTTTGTTGGGTGAAATTTGGAATCAGTGACTGTTGAATCTGGTCATTGGATGAAGTCTAATGACAGGCACAATAAGAAAGCTGGTGCCATTGGTTAAAGTATGAGTGGTCCCGTGTTTTGCACCGAGTTTATTCCGAATATCCTAACCATGGTCGGGGGGCCATGTGCTCTGCAAGAATTGATGGTTCTGTCCATTGACTAGGATGGAAGGACTAGGTTCTCTCGATGAGAGTCATGGCGCATCTACACCCTGTACGGATAGACTGTACAGAAGGCTGTTGGATGCCAACTGTTAGACGATCATTCTAGGCACCTGCATTGCGTCTGGTTGGACATGTGCTAGTTGTAGCGGAAGGACATATATCCAACACACTCGGCTTCTGGCCAGTGCAGATCGCGAGATATCAAATCCCATATATATATATATTGACGCGGCTCACCGGGAAGTGGAATATACTGGAATGTACAACCAACACCAGTGAAACTACTGTTCAAGCCACGACATCGCAGGTATATGTTTCAGAGATAAACGGCCCCAAGATGTGGGTTCTTTAATCAATGTCATTTGGACCCCACGCGATAGTTTCCACACGGTCTGGGACACAATCGGGCCAAATCTGCAAATAGTTGAGTAAGGATACTGATAAATTTATCGACAACGATAGTATACATGGTATAGGACGGTGTTGATAATTGGATCGGTTCCTGGGCTAAACTTGTGATGTGAGTAGGGTTACCGACCAAATTGCTGAATGAAAGCATCTCGTTAATATCGAATATCCTCCAACAGCAAAACCTATAGAATCCACTATAACAGCCAACTGTCAGTCTAAAAATTAGTAAAATGCCTGCTGCCTCGGGAAATTACTAGTTGATGTCATAATGGAGATCGGATACAAAGATCGACATGAACGGCTAAATGGAGGGTCTCCTGCATACACGCCAGGGTAAAGTAAAAAAAACACGGCGCTAAAAAGGTATCTGCCAATGAAATGGGCCTGGCCAGTAAAGTATCTTTCAAGTGAATACCTACTCTGTAAATCAAAACTCAAGCTTCTGCCTAGCATAACGCTGTACAACACACGGACGAAATGTGATGGTCTGTGTAATTTATACACGTAATCGTCCGTGGCAATAGACTGGTAGGATGACTACGTAAATGGCATGATGTCAGTGCATTCTTTTTCTTTTCTTTCTTTCTTTTTCTTTTTTTTTTTTTTTTT